GGAGTCACCAGAACTCAGCCTTAGCCTCTTATTCCTCTCCCCATGTTAACATTCTCCTTTTAATGCTCAGATCAAATTCATTCAGCTACTTGCACTTTTATGACTCTGTAAGAGACTGCTATTAGCTTCTTCTCCCAATGGGCACATTTCTGCCTGCTCTGTAGGGCTGAGGGGGCTGTCACAGCAAGGGTCATTCCACTGCCCTCCCTTAGAGCAGATCAGAAGAGAACATAATAATAGTAATAGGTCTCAGGTGGATCAAGAGTGAACCACACGGTCCTTAGCGGTTCCCTGTGGATGGCTTCAGTCACCTCTAGTGGGAATGAGGGCCCCAAACAAATAGCATTAAAAGAAGGCTGCTTCTTCTCTCAAGGTGGGGTCGAAGCAAAGGAAAAATGGTTTTATTTGTTTTTCTAGAGCATGAAGCATGCAAAGGTTATTCTTTTAGCCACACATACATGCTAGAATCACTCCACCCTCTTATTATTATTAGTGCTATTATTATTGCTAATCACTGCATAGCAATATTAAGGAGGACCCAGCAAGATCAAAGGAGTAAAGACAGGAGGTAATAACGGCTGCGAAGGACATGGAGGGTGTTGTGTGTTTGGTTCCTGCAACCAAAGCACAAAGGTTTCCAAAAATGAGTGTGACCCTTAAATGGTGACAGGTCAGATTTTTCCCTCCTTGCATGCCAAGACTCGTGTAGCATCAGAAGGGAGGCATCTGGCACCATCGCAAGGGTACAGAATCACTAGGTTTGAGATCACTCCAGCTATGGCCTGGTCCTGTCCTGCTTTAGGGACTCCTGCAGAAGGGAGTACAGAGCTGCAGAGGCCAGCTGCATGTCCGACACAGAGTCCCCCCCCCCACACTTAGAAGTGAGAATTCCCTGGCAATATGTTGATGGCTGCCCTGTGATCCTTTTGTTCCAGCCCAGCTAGCACAAACCTGCTGTCAGACAATTACCAATGAGACTCCACAGCCATGAATCCATGGGGATGCCCGGAACCCTCACTAAGCTCCTACTGTCCTGTCCCAAGATGTACTGTGCTCAATGTTAAACCTGTGAAGTATCCTCTTTCCTTCGATTGTCCTATCCTTAGGTCTTGCGGAGCTGTAGCACTGCACAGGGACATGACTACTCCAGTTTGGTGCTGAGGCCAAAAGCACACCATCTTCTCACTTCAGTACTTAATGGGCACCAATTCCTGTCCCAAAAACATGTAGCCTCAGAGCAAGCTAGGGAAAGAATATCCCTCCGTACAGACAGGGAACTGAGACAGATTATATGACAGGGGCAGGAATTGAACCCAAGCCTCTCAACTCCCAACCCTATGCCTCATCCCTACAGCCCACCCTTCCTTCCTTCCTGCTATATTTGTCATGGTGCAAATTACAGTGTAGGTGGAAGCTCGGAACATCTCTTTAAGAGACAAGCACTGTTATATTTGCGGCAAGCTGTTATTTCACATTGTTGTCACTGAGTCTCGGCATGGGGAGAAGAAACTTTAGGAAGCCTCGTGCTTCACCAGTGATCCTTTCACCCATGCAGGCAAGAACTGGTTTGACAGATGGGAGTTTCTTTCTCCCCCCTCCCCCATGCACCTGCTCATAATCCTGCAGCTTTATATTTAGATTCCTGTGAACAGCAGGAGCATTGAGTTGTGCTTCCCCTTAGAGGAAGGTGACCCCTCTATGCGATGGTCAGGGAGCATAGTGTTTTCTGCACTTTAGCAAGCTGACTTCTTTCCTACCTCAGTGTCTTGCTTTCCAGGCAGGAGTCACAGGGCTCCAGCTGGAGAGGAAATACCTTCATTGCAGCAGAGCAGAGCTGAGATTCACCCACAAGCAGAAGGCGAATTAGATCCCAGGGGAATCATTTTGAAACTCCTTGTTGCCTTCAGCAACCTGTTTTGCAGTAAAACTGTGCTACCTCCTCCTCCCTGTCCCTCCCCTGCAGAGCAAAGCTGTCCTATTAACCAGGAGGTGTCCTGTGCACTGTTCCCAGGGCCCAGGCAGAGCTGTTGCTGTCTACGTACTGATATTTGTGGAAGTTGGTGCCTGGTTCCCAACCTCCCTGGCCTTTCTGGGCCCTTTCCAGTTGCAGGAGTCGTCCACTTCACTGTGAATGGGACAGCTCCAAAACCAGTGAGGAATGTGCTAATGATCCCTTCACACTTCCCAGCCCTCCGTGTTTCCTTGCTCATTAAACTTTCTTTTCTCACTCTGTCATTCTTACTGCATTTCTTTCTGTTTTCTCTCTTCCCTCTGCTCTCTGGCTTCTCCTTTCCTCCCCACCAGTTTCCTTTTTCATGCCCCTTTCCCTCTCCCTCTCTCATTCTTTTGGCTGTTTTATTTTTCTCTCTCAGAATTTCTTGTTCCCTGCATGTCTTCCTTTCACTTCTCCCTCCTTCCAGCTCTTCATCCTATTTTTCCCTCTTGTTTCCTTATTTATTTCTTCTCTTCCATTTCTCTCCCTCCCTCCCTCCCTTCCTTGCTCCCCTCCCCTCCCTCTAGTCATCTTGCTGTTCTTCATTTAATGCCTTCTTTGATACAACTCACAGCTTAATGATTATTCGGAGGTCAGGCTATGCAGGTGCCATGAATTTCACTAATCCAGCTCTGAGAGCCTCTGTCCATAATCACTCCTCCTGTTGTACAGGGACTGAATCCTAATTTGTCATTAGCCAGCCCTCTCACTGCAGCACTACCAAGAAGTTTTTGCCCAGAGGAAACAATGAAGTATTCATTAGCTGGTGGGGAAAGGAGGCTGTAAAGGACTTCTGGGGAGGGCTGGTTAGAAAAGAAATGCTGTACAGAGGTTTGAAGGGGTGGCCAGTAACATTGCCAGGGTGTTGTATTTATGGGCTTATAGTGTTAGCTATTAAGGGGAGTACTAGGGGTAAAATGTATGGAGGGGTGTTGTAGATATCTAGCATAGTCAGAAAGAAGGCTTCCTTGTGGGTACTAGTAATTAGTTACATGGTGAGGGTGTTGTTATAGAGGTTTATAGCAGCAGTCACTTAAAAGGAGTACTCCTATAACAAGAAGTAGAAGTTTATTCCAGAAGGCTCACATACCCAAGCCTTGACTGACCCATGTGCTGTCAGCTGATCATGGTTCCTGAGGGTTTCAGTTCATTACATCCTAGGCTAAGTATTTTTAAACAGAAGCTCTCATGGAGCTGGTGAGGATTCCCAAATTCAGTGCTCAGTCCCAGCCTAGGAGATGTTATAATCTGCAACAGCTGGTAATGAACATCAAGGGACCACTTGCCATGTGGGAATGGCCTGTGTAACCTCGCTTGGCAATCCCCTGCTTTAGTTTTGCCAGCTCTACTCTCAGTGGAGACTTGCCCCTTCGAGCTCATGCCACTCCACATGGCTGGACTCCCTGGCCAAAGGGTGTGTAAGCCTGTGTTTCCTTTGCATGTTGTGAACAGTGCAAAGGAGTGAAGTGAGAGACGGTGCATACCCCATGGTTGCTTCCAAGCAGGACATGTCCTCTGCAGTGAAGGAGGAAGCAGTGACTCTAAAACTCTGGCAGGGGGCTGGAATAGGATGAATCAAATGCTGAGCATAAGAGCAGGCTGGTTCTGCAAACTTGACACACACCTAAGCATATCTGAGCAATAACAAACTGACCTCCAGCTTCCCCTGTAACTAAGAGCCTGTCTCTATGCTTGGTGCTAAAGCCTTTCTTTTCCTATTTGCAGGACGATACAGGATTGGCTCTCCCGCGTCCAGTCCTTGCTCTATTGCAATGAGAATGGGTTCTGGGGGACCTTCCTGGAGAGCCAACGGAGCTGCGTATGCCATGGGGGCACCAGCCTGTGTCAGCGCCCCATTCCCTGCATCATCGGGGGCAACAACAGCTGCGCCATGTGCAGTCTAGCCAATATCTCCCTCTGTGGTTCATGCAACAAGGGCTATAAGCTTTACAGGGGTCGCTGTGAGCCGCAGAATGTGGACTCGGAGCGCAGTGAGCAGTTCATCAGCTTTGAGACAGACTTGGACTTCCAGGATCTGGAGCTGAAATATCTGCTGCAGAAAATGGATTCCCGGCTGTACGTGCACACCACCTTTATCAGCAATGAGATCCGCCTGGACACCTTCTTCGACCCCAGGTGGCGCAAGCGCATGTCCCTCACCTTGAAGAGCAACAAGAACCGGATGGACTTCATCCACATGGTGATCGGCATCTCCATGCGCATCTGCCAAATGCGCAACAGCAGCCTGGACCCTATGTTCTTTGTCTATGTCAACCCCTTCAGTGGGAGTCACTCAGAGGGCTGGAACATGCCCTTTGGGGAGTATGGCTACCCACGCTGGGAGAAAATCCGCCTCCAGAACAGCCAGTGCTACAACTGGACCTTGCTCCTGGGCAACCGGTGGAAAACCTTTTTCGAGACTGTCCACATCTACCTACGCAGCCGGACTCGGCTGCCCTCCCTGCTGCGCAATGAGACCGGCCAAGGGCCTGTGGACCTCTCGGACCCCACCAAGCGTCAGTTCTACATCAAGATCTCAGATGTGCAGGTGTATGGCTACAGCTTGCGCTTTAATGCTGACTTGCTGCGCAGTGCTGTACAGCAAGTCAACCAGTCGTACACGCAAGGTGGGCAGTTCTATTCCTCCTCCTCCGTCATGCTCTTGCTGCTGGATATTCGGGACCGAATCAATAGACTGGCGCCTCCCGTGGCACCAGGGAAGCCGCAGCTGGATCTGTTCTCCTGTATGCTCAAACACCGCCTGAAACTGACCAACAGCGAGATCATCCGTGTGAACCATGCGCTGGATCTCTACAACACCGAGATCCTCAAACAGTCGGACCAGATGACAGCCAAACTCTGCTAACCCGGACTTTTCAGTGGACACATCAATGACTGATCCTTTTGCTGTACAAAAAAAAAAAAAAAATGGAAAAAAAGAAAGAAAGAAAAATTAAGGGAAGGAAAGAAAGAAAAAAATGAAAGAAAGAAAAAAAAGGAAAAAGAAAGGGAAAGAAAAAGAAAATTTGTAACGTGTAATTAATATACAAAAAAAGGGGAAAAAAAAAAAAGAAATTCTTCATTTGTTGGAAACTAAACCCGTTCTAGCAGCTGTATAAAACTGTCAGGCATGTTTGTTATTTCTATAATCCGTCATAAAAGGGTCACACCTAACTCTCTCTTGACCTTAAGGGTATTGCTTGTTAGGCCTCAGGTGCGGCAAAAAGATAAAAAGAGGAGGAGCAGAGGGGGACAAATTTCTGTAATGAACTGTAAAGATTTCTGCTATGCAGGTGCCAAGACAAAGAAAAAAAAAAGAATTATATGTAAATGTAAAAGAACTGCCATTATTCCTAGTGGGAGTAAATGGTCAAAGATAAAAACTATTTCTTCTGTTGAGATTTATACCAGCTTTATGTTCAATTATTCACCCATCCTGTGATGAGTTTTGTCACTGGTAAGGAGGTGATGGCAGTCCTTTGAGAGTCATATTTTTGCTTTGTCTGTAAGAAGCACAGAGAAGAAGGTGTGAAGGATTACTTTTCCCAAAGAAATTTCCAATTTGGGATGTTTCAATTTTTAGGTGCCTAATTTAAGAGACTTTTATTATAGGTAGGTGCTCAGCAATTTCTCAAAGTGAAGTTCCTTGTGTGACCAAAAACTCTATTGGACAGATGCTCAGCTAGTGCAAGCTGGTATGGTTCATTGGCTAAAGTTGCCCCATTAACTCCAAACTCTACTGTCTGCAATAGAGCTATGGCCAGTTGCTCTAGTTGAGGTTTTGAACCTATGAGTTTTACCATATCTTCTCCCTTCTCCAAGGAGACCCAAAAAACTGAAGCAACCCAAAATCACTAGTCACTTTGGAAAAATTCAGGCCTTAGGAACAGTACAAAGCTTTTGTCACCTTAAGAAAAGCCAGATACATGGAAGTTTATTCACTTTATTTTCTGAGGGGGGAAAAAATTGTTTTTGCCATTTTCACCATAAATGAAAGCCAGGGTTCTCCTGAAACAAAAGCCTCTTTGCCTCAAAGGAAAAAAAAAAATCATTATTGCAAAATGTCATCAAAATGGCCACAAAATTAACAACACTGAAAACAATTGGCCAACTTTCCCCAAATTCGTAACCACAGAACAAGAAGAAATTTGGTCCAATGGTCAAACATGTAATTAACCTGCAAAAGGTTTTATGCTATGGATACATTTTTTGCTGGATTTTTTAAATTATCACAGAGTGTATCATTACCTGCTCAGCCCAGCTTTAGGGTAACCCCCTCAAAGACAATATGTGGGCTGTGTTTCTCTTTATTTCAGTTTGTTTGGGACTTAGTAAAGAGCTGCTAAGGACAAAGTGTAGAGCCTAACAAGAAATATAATTCTTTAGCCTGCCTGCTTTCAGAGAAGCAGCATTATCCTGGCCACAAGCTGGGACTAGTCATCAGAGAGAAACCTAAACCAAACCACTAAATTCAGATCTGATTTGATCAAGCTTGGATCTGAACATTGAATTCTTAAGCTGTTTGGATCCAAGTGTTTGGTTTGGCCATTGTAGAGACCTAGGCTATTGTAGAGCCTAGGGTTTAAATGCTGAGACTTAGGCACCTAAATTCCTTAGATTTTTTTTTTTTTGAAACTATGCCTATGGAGCCAAAAGTATTGTGCTGTTATTTTTTTGACAGTAGCCAACTGGGGCAATTAAATCTGGATTTAGATTCAGATTTCAGTGTAAGACTGGTTCAGGCCTGTCTCTACTGTGTATCAACAATGAGAGGAAAGAATTGGATACCTTTAAAGGTATAAGCTCACTAAGAGAAATCCATGAATAAATTAGTTAGGGAGGGTATAGCCAGGCTATACTGAATTGATTTCAGGAGAGAGAAAAGCGCCTTCCACATTCAGAAGTGTATGCATCAGATCCACCATGAAAGTCACAAATATCAGTCAAAGTGAAGGGAAGTGCTTGTGTCATTGGTGGAGATGGGTGAATATTGCAATTTTTTTTTCCTTGGCCATCTGTCCATTCCAATGTTTAAGCAAATCCATTTTGTATTTGTGTAACTGACTTTGAGGTCTTTTTGTCCACCTCTTGTGGCTGGCCCACGTAAGAGGTTTCTGGGTCTGTTACTGTTTAATGGGTGTATCCTTTTTAAGTTCAAGTGCTAGAGGCTCTTGGTTGTAAAGCTGACAGTTCAAGTTCAAACCCTGCTGTTGGCCCTAGGGGGCTATTTGCATTTGTGACCCTTCTGTGTTGGCTTTCTGTAAACATTCCAGCAAGCAAATTCCCTGGCAGGAATATGCATGGAAACAGTTAGTTTTAAGCTAAAACTGGAGAGTATTCATGGGAAGTAAATTTCAAATTTGTAGTTATGAGTATTCATAGGGGAAACCATTTTTCTAAGAGTTAAATCCATCCATTCAGGGACTAGAATTATGCCATGTAAAATACCCAACTGACCAAAAGAGCTGACATTTAAACTTGCTACTATTACTACTGACAATATTAATATTTTTTAAAATATCAAACTTTGTTCTTGAACAAATAGACTGAAATGCATTATGCATTCACTGAAATTATTTGGTGAATAATCTGAAATAGTGAATTTGCTAATGCAAAAAAAGGAATGGAATTCATCAGATGAATCATTTCTTATGAATTATTCGTCCAGCTCTAGTCACCAGCAGCAAAAGGAATTGCCATCCAACCATAAATCCTATGGGTCATCAGCAGATGCATTTTCTAAGTTCTGCCCTGTGTTTGCAGGACAGGACCCATTTACCTAACCAACTAAATTCATGTGTCTCCCTTTGACTTAATGGGATAGTTAAACTCAATGGCTTTAGTTACATTAGACTTCAGCTGGTGACAGTAACAGGGGGACTTTTAGCTTAGACAAGGCACAAATAACCACCAGAATTTTAACCAACTGTTGTCAAGAAATGACCCAAGTTACTTTCGACAGCAGATGGGTAAAAATGTCAGTGGCTGAAGTTCACTCACATTCCAGCAATCACTATCACTTGGAGAAGATTTGCTTTCCCACATAGAAAGCAAAAGTGGGAAATTTGAGGGTTAAAGGTTTGGTATAGACACCCTCTTTGTGTCTGAAATTTATTTCAGGAGTTCATGATATTGTGACGTAGCATCAATATGCAATGTCACATCAACACGGTGATGTGGAGTCTTCATGTAGTGTCAATGTGTGATGATGTTGCAACACAACAGGATATCATTGCATCATGATATGAAGACAAAATG